TCTTGAAAGAAGACTCAAACTGCATTCTGTGCTGGAGTTCAAAGACGAGTTTGCAGATCTGAGAGCATGAAGACAGTTGAATCATCTCTTCTTGCACGACACAACACTCATCTCCTGTTGTTTGACTGCCTGGTATCGCACTTGGCTTTAAACAAGTAGAATCAGGCAGGAGACTGCACATAGTGTCAACACAAGGAATTAAGACATGATGTTGTCAAAAAAGCATCAGTATTGATTGCAGACTTGAACATGGAAAGACAAATATTAATGTGTACACAGGACAACCTATTTATATATTCCCAGTAACTGGATATAGTCAGTGCTTTTCCATAGAAAATACTAGAAGTCTTACAGACTTAAGCAAGATAATGCTCTTTTCTCTATTAAATTTGTAAAGCATCCTAGACTAAGAAATTATTTTATGGCCATGTCAAATAAGAAACTGATCTGTTGTAAACTAGCCCCACACCTCATATATCAAGGGTAATTAATTTTCAGGATCCATCTTCAGGTTTTCCTCAACATACCATTTAAACATATACTGTCTTGCCTCTAATAACACTGTTAGGAAGTGTTATCATATTTACTGGTACCTGTACAGCAATGTAGGAGGTAAGGATGATCCCTACATCCAGAAGCTTGCAGTGCTTACAAACTTTGGGGATAACTTTTAGTAAGGAGCAGAGGCATCCAAACACTGTCGATTTTTTTATTACATTCAGTTTGAAAAGGAAAAGAAAAAGTACTTTCACAAAATTCTAGATTTGGGTTATCCTTTTACTGAATAGGTAGCTTTCAGCAAATGAAGAAATGTCTAAATGATTTCACATACTTGCATTCTGATAACAGGCTTAATAAAGATGGTTTTAAAAGCACCAGAAGAATAAAACATCTTTGAAAAGTGAGGAGTTTTATTGCATGAAAAGGGAAACTATTGCTCAGAGTTTAACCAACGAACAATCAAAAGTAGACAGTTATCATGTGATAACAAATCTAACTGAAATAAAGAGATTGTGAGCACCACAAAAAAAATAAAAAAAAATATTTTATCAAGAAAGTAGAAGAAAACTCAAATTATGTTTCTGAAGAACTGAGAAAAAGTGATATTGAATTCTGTCTGCAAACCTTTCCCTTGGTCACCCCTTATTAAAGTCACCAAGGGAAATATAACACCTTAGGTTATGTGTTCACAATCACAACTCCTGCAACTGAACTTCTGACAGAATTGGGTCCTGACAGTATTTAGGGTTGCCACAAAAGGGCTTAATGAAAAACACTTCTGGAAAATTCTGAGACTGAAGCAATACTTAGACCCTGATTTGGAAGTTTTGGAGCTTTGAGACATGAAAGAAAAAGAGAAGCAAAGAATATTACTATTCAGACTGCAGTTGCATCAATCCATTATCCTGTTCCCATTAGTGGTACAATCCAGAGTCTTCTGACGGATGTGTAAGGAATTTTAACACACTCATTGGGAAAGTTTCATGTTAAGTATTCTCAGTAATTGCCTCTTGCTTAGAAACCGAATGTGTTATTGCATGCAGAAAGTTTGTTTGCTTGTTTTAAACTAATTGCAACAACGTGTGCTGTGACTTTAGATGGTCTCATAGAATGTCAGAAGTGCCCAAGACTACCAAGGTAGAGTTTGGTTATTGAAAACATGATTATTTCCTAATAAATATAGCGAAGTGCTGGCAGAAAGAATAAAATAGCTGCAGAGCTACCAGCTTTGTCACTGTGCTGGTCAGCTTGAACAACTATTTTAATAGTCTCACTGGAGTTATTAGATATGGAATATTAAAGTAGCATTTATGGTGTTAGCCTTTTTTCTTAATCTCAAGAAAGAAGCAGAGGGAAAGATTATGACCAGCATTACATTAAAACATTTTATATTAATTAGAACTTAAGGACCTCATCTGTGTTTCTGTCTTAGAAATACCATGGAGTACTTCCAGGCTTATAATGTCTGAGGTATTTTAACTTCTGAAGATCTGTGTAAGGCTGATACAACCTTTGCGAATACAAGGGATTATAAGGAAATCACCACAGGAAAAAAGAGCGCTAGAAGAAGAGGAGGAAAGGGGTGGAAAACGCATAAAAATATCTCAGGATAGAACAAAGCAAAGAGCTACTGAATTTCTGCTGTGTGGAAGCCTTAGGCCTCTGCTCTTCCTGAAGTACTCTGGAGGAATATCGGTCTAAATTGTTGCTAATCTACCTTCCTTTTACTGCTAGCATTGATCTCTCCCTTAAGACATAGTAGATGAAGAAGAGATATGGCTCATATTAGAGCTTGTGAACGCAAAATTACCTTTCCATGATCAGACCCAGATTACTTTGGCAAGTTTGCATGCTGCTCCTAAGAAGTGCTTTTGCCCCATTGATGGACTGAAATATGGATTTTATATCCAAAATAATTGCAATAATAGCTATTCATAAAAATGAAGCACATTTTTATTATTGACCTGTTTCTTGGAGGGATGGCAAAAATGGTGTTGCATGCTATTTGTTACTGTTGTTGTTTTTTTTTTCTGCTTTGTTTGATTTGTTTGAAACTTGCAGAACTTTAAAACATGTGAACTTTAAATAATATTTGATTTTAATGCAACGTATAGAGGACTGCAAGCCTATAAAACTTTATCATTCTTTTTTCTCTAACATAAGAATTTTTTTGTCATGTTTTATGTAGAAAACATTATTTTGAAGAGAAAGGTTAGATGAGGTAGGCACTCCTACAAAACATTCAGCAGTTAACCATAAATATGGTGCCGAGTGCTCAACCAATGCAGTGAAGCTATGGTGAAATATGATGCCTGGAAGAGAATCGTGGAGTAGGAGCTTCTAGCTGTGGGGTGCTCAAAACATATACTAGAATGGTCTAAGGTTTCTCCAGTAAGGTTTTGATGTCTTATAATTCTGACAATGAAGAACCTCTCAATCTCAAAAATGCTTAAGACTTAAATCAAGCACCCAGCTGATAAATGAGTGCCTATGGGGCTAACAATGTCTTGTAAAACAGAAGAATTATCCACGCTTTAAGGTGGGCCAACTAGGTCAGACCTCACAAAACATACATATAATCTGTCTTATTCAATGCAGCTTCACTGTATATTGCATATGTTGGATAAGGGAGACTAGTGAGCCCTTCACTTCTTGTGCATAAACACTGAAAGGAAGGTTTTCTTTTCCAAGTCATTATTCTTACTACTAGCCTAGAATATTTATGACCTGACCTAACTCAAGCTTCCTTGTGTGACTCCTGGACTATAGCATTCACAGAGAAATCTGTTTACAGAATCAAGGGCTTAGTTCTGCAATGTGCATTCCTGCTATTATTGCCAAGCACAGACAGCTTTTATTATCTCAGTGGCAACATATAGCCCTTGGTATTTGGATGAACTCATCTGTAACTGGAAAGTGTGATTGCTGATTCAGTTTTGCTGTAACAATATACTTGTAGTCTAAAAGAGGTTAAAATATGATGTGGTTTAGCTGGAGATACTAATTCAATGTGTGCTGAAATTAGTGAGTGCTTCAGCACTGATTTCATTAGGCACAGGATCAGGCCTTTTGAGTTAGGGCTGATGAGTATGAAACATTTACTTGCCATCACTTGGGCATGTTACTGATTTGAGAGGTCTCCAGGGAAGGCAGCACAATGGGCAAGCGGCAGTTTCACATGAAACCTGAATTACAGAAAACACTACTGTTTTCCTTTGATTATTGAATTTGCAGTTTCAGCATGTGTTTATTTGTGTCTGTGTAGCAAATTTACTGTTGATAAAATAACTACTAAAGCTTCAGAAAGGAGAATAAAACAAGTTCCTTACAGAAAATGTGCATGAGATGCTTAGAAAGCACTGGGGGCTATGAATAAAATCTCAGATGAGAGATACATACTTATCATATCAAAAAAACAGATGGAACAACAGAATGCATGCAAATTCCCTTATGAAATTCATATATATGTTGAAATATATATATTTCACAGCATCACATACCCCCAGAATAAACAGTTTTCCTACAAGATGACACAGAAATTAGGGTGAAGAACAAGTCATTAAAGCCTGCAGATAGGAAAAGAAACAACTCATGGTAATTAAATCCAAAGAAGACCATGAAAGGATCTTGGTATTATGGAAGTAAAACTATCTGGAAAGGATCTGGAAGTATCTTCTCCAATATCTATTTCTCAATATTAAATACAGCTTGATGGCAATAAGCATAAGTTATACAGGGTGAAAAGGGAGGGACAGCGATAGAGGACCTCATAAAGTTAACTGTGTTCATTAAAGAAAGATCCCTTGGCACCCCCAGAGGCATTTCACTGTTCAATGGATATTGGCCTCAAGAGGATAGAAAGATGTTAAATGCATGACAACCAGGACAGAAATATGACAATTCTAATGCATTAAACAGATCTTCTGAGCTGCTATGCACTACTCCTGACAGCCCTTCCCAAAAACACCAAAGGCATCTGTAGCATACAGTGAAAATGATTAGGGTCATAGAAAAACTCCTTATGAAAAGGAAGTGTAAAACTCACATTCATTACCTTTACAAGCAGTTTAGCACCTGGCAAATTAATTAATATATTTGCGATTGCGAAACAGCAATGGAGCTTCCTGTTCCATGATACAGTAACAGAGACAACCAGTGAATTGCAAAGGTGGCAGGTTTGGGGTTGATGAAAAGGAAGGAACATTTCACACAAATCATCATTAAATTGTAAAACTACTTGCCCTACACTGTAGTGAAAGAAAATACTTGGAGAGTTTCAGGAGGGATCTGCATTTCTTTATTGTTAGCAAAGATATTTAGCATCTAAGAGCTCACTCCAAACGAGAAAATACTGCTGGAGGAGAATAATAATATCATGCCTGATGTCAATCAGTCATTTACTGATTTTACCAAGCAGGCTGAGACCAGCTAAGCAGAGGGATTACTCCACACCTGCCTTCTCTGGGGGCTTCATGAAACATCTGGTACTTCACGAGTGATGTAGCTTACTGGTCTATATGCTTATTGGTTCAGATACAGTTAGATGATGCTTAGGATCCAAAAGAAATGAAAAAATAATGAAGTCCTGAAGCCAAATGTTTCAGAGTGCTCTAGTAAAAGCTGATGTAAGGCCGTGGGGATGAGATTCTGCAGCACACTTTATTTATTGCCTCATCAGCACAGTGGGAAGGATTTGAATGATGTCAATGACTGTAGCCCATCACTTGCATTTGTCTGATGCTTTGCTGTCCAGGAGCCAGAAAACTCCTATGGATCCATTCCATCTGTGCTCTTTTTAAACATCCGATGGTTTCATTGCCAAATTTACCTGCAAATAAAGTACTGCTGGAGAATTTCTCCAATTTGATAAGATCTTGTTGCAAATGTTTGAAATTAGTAAAGGGGAAATAAACATTTTGGACAGTCTTTCAAAACAATACATAGAACAGGAATTCACTGTCTGAATATACCCAGTTGCTTTTTCTGTTCTTGTTAGAAGTACTACTGATCGGGTACCAGTGCACTTGATGAATTCTGCTGGTTAAAATGTGCCCCATGGTGATTAATTACGCATTTTATCCCCCAAAAGCTGCACATAGGTCTCAGATCCTGGTTTATAACATTTTCCTGCTACGCTTGATCTTCTGGTATGGTATTTTAGTGACCTCCTGGGAATACCAGAGAGCTTATATGAAAAAAGAAATAATAAATAATAGGGTGGATAGAGCTTGAACCCTTATCCCCAGTATAATTAAACTGTGTGTCATATATACTCCTAGTCGCTAGATACTTTAAAAACCCTTAGAACATTTTTTCTATTTAACTTTTACTTATTTTACCATCCATTTACTCATGTTTTCCCAGATTTATTTGACTATGCACTGCATGTAGTGATGACTTCATCTCAGGAGGAATCAGCTAGCAGTGTATTATTTCTTAGTGACATTGTTGTTTTTTCTTGTTGTGATGAACTTCTGCCTTCTGAGAGAACAGAGAGAAAAGTGAGAACAAATTATTTCATTTTCAGAACTCATTTTTGTTCTTTGTAGTTAGTCAATACTTTTTATTAAACTGTTATCGAAGCAAAATTATTTATTGACCTTTCAGGCTGAGCAAATGACTTTTTTTTGATAAAGACAGAAAAGTCATGACTGCAATAGCTAACATTCAATAAAAATAATACTGTAATCTTGAAAAATTAAAAATATTTTCCAGATGAAAACATGATAAATGGTTATGACACTGAATGTTTGAGCAGAAACTGTACTTCCCGCAGGAAAAATTTGTTTTAAATAGCAGTATTTTTTTCCATAAAACATCTCAGTCTGTACTTCTAAATTAATAAGAAAATACCTTTTTTTCTTTACTCATGATATTTTTCAATACATATCAGGAAACACAGAATATTTTTAACCCATGCAAACACTACCAAATGGTGATAACTGTTATTTACGAAGGAATTAATGTGCTTAAGGCAGCCACTAAAAGTATGCCTACACTTATCGGTGCCCATGTCTTGGCTCCTTCTCTTTAGTATTGGGAGAGAAGTTAAGCCTGTGTGGAAGTTCTTCAGTTTTATCATGACCTCCTATTAATTAATATACCCTGCAGAAAAGAATGGGCTGAAACCTGACAGGGCAATAATGTGTCAATACAGCTAACAACTAGAGCTGAATTGAGTCTGGTCATGAGAGAGGATTTGTAAACGTTCACAACCACCTATTTAAACTTACCTTGTAAAACAAATAAGGGCAGTAAAATCAAAGATCATCAGGAAAATCAAGTTGTCAGCATAACCCAGAGAGTCTTGTGAGGGCTTGGATCCACTGTCAAAGTATTACACGTCACTTGAGGCACCTTAACTGTCTGTGCATGTTTTTAGCTTGTAGCTAATATGAGATAATTGGACTAAAGCTAAATTGAATTAGCTTGCGATAGCCTGACTAATAGGACACACATGGACAGTCACTGTGGCTCACCTAGACTGGTAACTGGTTCAGCTGAGATAATTTGTTCATCTTTGTGAGCCCTGGGAAGCAAGTGTCAACCTTGGTGACCCTTCAAACTAGACAAGGCTTAAATGTATTCTCTGAATAATCCTGAACTTTCAGAGTAATGGACTGGATGATTCAATTTGACTTTTTAATTTCTTGACTGTTTCGAGTTTCTGAGAATGGCTTCCCTTTAGCCTCCTTCCTAAATCACTGCAAGATACCTCAGAGGGGTTTTATAGCCTACCTTACAAGCAAGTTGAGCTTGCGTATTTCTGTCATAGCAGCCAACTACTGTGGCATCCACTGAGTACTTTATGCCTCATTGGCATATCTGATAAACAGAGGAGACACAACAGAAAAGCTACAGATAGGAAGCCAGAGGCATAGCAATACAGTTTACATCTGTGATGGGCCTGGATTGAACCACTCATTGTGAGCAGAAGTGCTGAAATTCATGCTTATTTAGGGCAAGTATTCCTTCTTAAGATAACAAAGTGCTTATTGCTGGAAAAAACTCAGAAGCCTGCCTGAGATCTTACGGCTTCTGGATTTACTTTTGTGCAGTGACCTGCACACTGGCAGTCTTTTGATAGAAAGTTTGCTGAAAAGTTTCTGAGAGTCTGGCAGAGTGCATCGCAGTCTGTTACTGTCACCTGCTGGAATGCCAGAGCTGAAAGATTTCCTAACTCAAAAGGTAAAATCACCTGTCATGGCAGGAACCATGTTGCATGGCCATGGCGTTTCCAAGCTTCAACTTAAAAATAAGTTAAAAGTTTTTCTTCTTGCTGTTCTGATTCAATGTCTCTAGAAAGTACATCTTCCAAAGGTTGGTTACATCTTCCACTTTACCCATGACTAGGTTTTTTCCTTTCCTAGTACTGTTATTTCATATTCCAACAGATAACTTTGTAGCATGCATCTGAAGATATATGTGCTTTTAAGCGTGTTAAATAGGGTATTAAATTAGTTATGGCGTACAAAGCCCCTCTGTGTTTGCTTTTCTAGTGAGGAGCCAATATAAATATTCAGTGTCATGAGCAAAATTATTTTCTATCATCTTGTTTTGCTTATTATGGGCAGTAATCTCTTTAGAGTTGCAGACTCAAAATATTTCTACCAGTAATGCTGTTTCCTTAAAGAGAATAAGGAGGATCAAAATGAAAGACGCGCAGAGGTCGCTACTTCAATAATGCTGGAAAAACGCTGGTGAAAAAACACAGCAAACCTCTATGTAATTGTGTAGTATAAGTTCAATCTGATGTATGGGATAAGAACCCTTTTACCGAAAGTTATCAAACCAACAGGTTGGTATCCAGTTCTCCATTAAAAGAGAAAGGCATCTACAAAAGAGATCCCAATTGTCTTAGACATCTATCTCTGCACTGGATGAATCACCCTCTGGAGCCTATGTCTCCTTTTGGCTAGATACATCAGATTTGAAAAGCTGCAACAAAGCCCAGCTGGAAGAGTTCATATTTTCCTATACCAGCCTTCTTAGTTGTCCATTTTTGAACCTTAAATGACTTAGATTGGTGCCCCCAGCTCTCAGTTTCCCTGTGAATGTTACTGTATTAATGAGATAGCTTAGATCCTATGAGATTATTTTTATCTTCCATTGAGTGTCTCCTTACATAATAGATTGTCACACTGGGAGCACACATGGAAATTATCATCCTGTGTTTTTTGCCTGAGAGCATTGCAAGGGAATTTATGCCATTGCTCAAGGTTCTACTGAAATAAATAACTTAGGGGAAGTTCAGGTTGGATATATGAAGTTCTTTACTGTGAGGGTGGTGAGGGACTGGAACAGGCTGCTCAAAGAAGTGGTAAATGCTCCATCCCTGGCGGAGTTCAATGCCAGGGTGGACAGAGCCTTGGGTGACATGGTTTAGTGTGAGGTGTTCCTGCCCAAGGCAAGGGTTTGGAACTGGACGATCTTAAGGTCCTTTCCAACTCAAACCATTCTATGATTCTATGAAAAAAGCCCTCTCTTTTTTGTACTGCAGACAATTTATGAAGAGAAAAACCCTGAGTAAGACTTTTAGAGTCCTCCGTTGAAGATTTGCCACTAATTTGCTCTAGCATTACAATCCTATGCAAGAAGTACTCCCCTTTCAGATTTTTTTTCCTTTTCTAATTCTACCTATATCAAAGAAAAAAAACAGTCATGGATTGCAGTGGGAAAAATGGTTTCAATTCAATTATGCATAATGTAATTTCACAGCAACTATATCATGTGTTTGCTCATTTTTCTTTTTACTGCTTTTAACATGATATAAAATGGAGACAAGGATATTATAAGTGCCTGTGCTGGTGGTATTTCTGCAGATGGGAAGGGACTGAGAGGGGTTAGCTGAATCTGTATTTTTGGAAATAATTGCTTCATTACTTGAGTTAGTTACATGGAGCTGAGCTGATGTGATTCTCCATCTGTTTCTGTTCATTTATTGAAGTAGTGCCACTGGACATTAAATAAGAGCTGTATGCAGCCAGTGCAAGAAACTCAAAGAAGTCAATACGAAAGTGCTGAGGCTGTGGCTTGTATTTCAGTGAGACAAGGAGAGATTTGGTGGGCAAAGTACAAGCTTCGTATTTTTTATATGTGAGCTCTATTTTCAGCACTACCTCAGACCTCCTATACAGCTTCATGCAGAATGTAACTGCTCTGGACCTTCAAACTACAGGTGTAAAATGGGAATTGTAAAGATGATGATTGGTTTCCATTTCATTGTGCGTATCTAATTTAGTTTCTGGGATTAAGGATTTCCCCTTCATTCATATATGTAGCTTTGCATAGGCCTATGTACAACACCTTGCCTAGTGAGGGATAGATCTCTGTCAGTACTTGCTGATTTATTTAATTAAGATTATTATTAAGTGTTTAAGTAAGCTAGCCCTTCTATCTTATGCAAGCCCTATGGATTTTTAGTAAAATTATTATTCTAGGGTCTCAGAAATAGATCTGTATGAACCTCTTCTAATTAATGCTTTTGACTTGAACTCCTTTTCTATGATATTGCATGCTTAATATTATACTTTTCTTGGAATAATGGAAGTAACATTGCATGCTTAATATTATACTTTTCTTGGAATAATGGAAGTAACATTGCAAAATGGTTTTGGATCTGTGGACTACTGATGGATTGTGCCTCTTTAAAATGTACTTTAAGCAAATATCATTATGTGATGATCAAAAAGCAAAAATCATTATTTTGCAATTATAACTTGTGTGTATACCTTTGGCTCACTTGGTGGTTTTAGACATATTCAGATCATGAGGTCCTTCTCAGCTTTCCAAAATCTGCATGTGTAACCTTATCACAGTGAAATAAAAGTGAATTTTTCATGTCAAAAACATCCAAACAAACCTATGAGTACGTTGCTAAGCTGCAGCTCTCAAAAGGAATGACAAAGCCATGTTACAGAGCTGTTGTGATTGCCAGGGGCTCTAAATGGTCAAGTACGGAACAGAAAGTATTTTACTGACCCGTGTCACCTCAGATGATGAAATAAATTTTGTGGCCAGAATCCATGTTTTTCGTACTGGTTCCTCTACATTGATAAGCACAGAGAAAAGCAGTTTTATTTGGCCTGTCTCTGAACTGCTAAGATGTAGTCCACCAGCAGCATAGAAGTATATTGGCATAGTACTGTGTCTGAACCATTACGAGCTGCAGGTTTTTGATGATATTTCACTACTGTTCTGGAATTGGTTTGTAAGAGAGAAGCTCCTGTCATTGTCCTGTCTAGTCCCATATTTACAGGATATGTCCTTACTCCATTGTTTGAGAGCTTTACTGGAAACAATGATGGACAGATCTTATTCTCTTTGCATGGAAAATTCCTTGCTTTAAGGTCCTGGTCAAATTCTTTAAAGGTGTGCTAATGCAGGTCCCAACACAGAGAAACTCAGAAGAGAAAAATATTCTGGCTCTTCCAAAGAATTCTCTGCACAGAAAAAGATAAATGGTGTACAATCACAATTAGTAAGCACAAGTCTAATGACCAAGTCTCAGATGGATTCTATACTGACATAGTCAAGGGGCCAAAAATTAAGCTGAATAGATCTAGGCTGTGCAAGAGCAGGATGACAAACACAGTTAGTGTCAAGCCTAATTTCATCCATGTCTTTACTGATGAGATGACCAAGAGGAAGCAGCATTAAAAAAGGTGTACAAAGGAAAAAGTGACACCAGACTAGGAGCACTGACCAGTACTAAGAAAGCAAGGAACTGAATCAATGTGAACCTCTAAAAATTGCCTCATTTTTCCCCAAATGACTGCTGAAGTCTTTTGTGGGAACAGGAATGGACATATAAACCCTGGGGAGCTAGGAAACTTAGTTACCATTAGGATGTTTAAAGTGCAGACTGAAAGCTTCCAACTACCAGTCATATAAATAATATTAGAGTGAAACAAATATCTGTGTCATGATGATGCATCACAGTTTAAAAGGCATTATAATGAAAAGATGTCAGCAGAGAGGAAAACAAGTGAGGGGATTAAATATATAGAGCAACAAGACAAATTTAGGATACGAAGTGAGAGAAATGCTGAACAGGGAAACAAGAATCTGTAAACTTTGGTGCCGAGAAATTGGAAATAAATGAGCTTTAAGAACCCTTCCAATTCTGATCATTCTATGTTTCCACGACGGAGTCTGGTTTTCTCCGTACTTAATCATTTCTCTTGCCTTAATTAACAGAGATAGATATTAAAAGAGGTGGAAAAAGCCAAACAAAACTCTTTTTATAGCTGGTAACAGGCAGAAATTACAAATGGCTGAGCAATAGAAATTGAAATGAGATAAACACAAAATCAACCTGAGACCACTGATTGGCATGG